CAAGATGTGGAAACAACCTAAAATGTTCGTCAATGGATGGATGGGTAAAGAAAATGTGGTCTATACAGACAATGGAGTATTATTCAGCCTTGAAAAACAAGGAAATCCTGCCATGTGACCACATGGATGGACCTGGAGGACGGTACACTAAGGGAAATAAGCCAGCCACAGAAGGACAATACGGCCTGACCTCACTGACACGAGGAATCTACAACACTCAGACTCATAGAATCAAACAGTGGATTGCTGGGTGCCAGGGGCTGGGGGGAGGGGAACATGACAAGTTGCTATCAAGTTTCAGTTTTGCAAGATGAGTGAGCTCTGGAGACGCGCTGTACCACATCGTGGCTCTACCAGCAGTACTGTGCTGCGCATGTCAAAATTGTTAAGAGGCGAGATCTCAGGTTAAGTTCCTTACCACGGTAGAATAACATTTTTTTTTAAGTTTTGCAGTAGTAAATTATTCATTTACTGATGGAAAAAAATAAGCCACAGCTATGCATCTCAGTCCTGACAATCTTAATACAATTGCCAGTTCCATTGCCCGCAAAAGCTATCATTGCAAAGACAGAATGCCCACAGACCTCTAAGCAGCACTGTTGGGAGAGAGAACATTCGGTTTGTCTTAAGGCCACCTAAACTCTCGGATGGGGGGGGGGTGGAGCAAGGAGGTCGGCTGTCTGTGACCACCTCCTGTCAATGTCATCCTCTGAGCCAGGCTTGCATGATCCCTGTGGACACGCAGCAGTGCAGCAGTGGAAATGCCAGGTCTGCTTTGTGACGTGGGCGTGTCACTTCATCCCTATGTGCCTCAGTTTCCCCATCCGTTAAATGGCAGTAAGAGCACTGCCCTTGCAGGGGTTTGTGAGGGTCCTGTAGACCCAGCATCCAGCACCGTCCACCTGGAGTGGCAGAGACCTGTGTTCTGCCTCCTCCCTCGAGAGAACACCTTCTGGGTAGAAACCATGCCCTGTCCCTCCCTTCACACTGTGGCCATAGCGCCCCCCAGGCAAGCTCTCAGGAGCTGCGAGTTAATTGCAATGAACTGAATTTGGTTCTGTTAGCTTCTCGACACATTATTCTTTGGGATGTGTGGAACGGAAGGTCGGACAGGTCTAGGTGGGAACACTGATTCCCTCTCTTTCTACCTGGGATCTCCGGCACATTTTCTAACCTCCCTGAGGCTCAATAGACCAAACAACACTAGCAATCATGATAAAGTCAGTAAGACACCTAGCCCAAAGGCTGGCACATAGTAGGTGCCCCATAAATGGTAGCCTCCTTTCCCCCTTGAATAGAGGCGAATCTTTAACAGGCACAAGACCTGGTTACGTAACAGCTCCCTTTTCCAGCCCGGGAGTTTCATGCCGCCAAGAGGGTTCTCCTTCCAGTTGGAAAATGCAAATTCTCTTTCCCTTTTCAAGATCTTTGCAGTTTGTGATGAGAACATAGCTGGGAATATGAATGAGCTGTGAGCCATGAGAAACTTCTTACTTCAAGTGCAAGGGTGGGAACCTGAGCTAGGAGGAGGGGACCTGGGGTGGATCGAATGGACTATTTGAATGACTTGGAGATGAAAGAGAACGGACCCCTCTGGGAGGGTTATTTTCCATAGCACATGTCTTTTCGAAGTGGGCTCATCGACTACAAGTTTGCAATGCCATTTTGTCTCTCTCCAAGCAGAGCTAGTTACAGTTATGTGTGCTGACCCGTCCCGTCCCCACCCCGCAGTTGCCATAATCTCACCCTCTCCCAGTCTTCCATAGAAACCACACATTTCCGGGTCCTGTACCTGCTTTAAAGACCTCGTGGTCCATTTTCCTGCTCAATGCCTGAGTTCCTCCCACAACATTTCTAACACGTGCTCGTCAAGCCCCTCCTTGCACACCTCCAGGGATGGGGAACTCACTGCTCGTGAAACCGCCCAATCTGCCCTTGAATACCTCAGTCAGACAGTCCTTCCCTTGTGGCGAGCTGACATCAGACGCATCCCAGCTCCTGACCTTGGCTCATGGTCCTGATTTTGACCTCAGGGCCAAGGAGAACAAGACCAACCCCACCCACATCCGGGCTTCCCCTCCCAAAGGATCCCCTTCTCCTGATGCAGCGTCTGCAGATATGAGGAGGGTCCAGTGACGTTCACCCAGCATGGCTTGAGCACCTGCCGTGTGCCAGGCTCCGAATGAGACCCAGCCTCTGGCATAAGCCTGACATCACCATGAGCACTTTCCCTGAGCTGATAGGACCACAGTGCTGACAGAAGAAGCAGTGATAGCCGTTTACCGGCTTCAGGACACCCCCGACATTGTCCAATGCACTTTGTTCCCTCTCTGCATGGTTTCCTGTCCCTACGTGATGAGGCTTCCACTCCAGATCCCAGGCCTTCACCTAAAGACTGGGGTGAAGGGAATGTCGCTACTCATGGGCTCTGGGTGAAAAAAATGCAAGTCCAGCATCATGTGGGCTTGGGAGTTGAGGCAGACACCCACAGAGCTAAGCCCTGGACGCCGTCTGCTCTCCACGCTGCTCACAGCCAAGTAGGGGGGTCCTTTCCTGAAGTGGACTGAGTGGCATATCTCTGTGTTTGCCATGCTAATCACACAAGATGCTATGCCTCACCCAGTCACAGGAATCGTCTAAAAAGGGGTGTAGGGCCAGTGGAGCACACTACCTATATGAACATATACGAGAGCACATTGAAGTGGTGCATTAAAGAGGAAGGAGATCATAACTTTTAAGAGGAAGAAGAGAGGTTTTTGTTACAGGAAAGTCTGTTAACAGCCAAGTGTTTAGTTTCGCTGAGAGCTTCCTGACGGCCATGGTGAAAAGGGAAACAATAGTTTATAACGTTTCCTTATTTTATGTGGAAAGCAGGTATGTCAGGGAAGAGAGAGAAATATTTTCCTGCCCTAAAACGCTAGGATGACTTCATCACATGGATGTGTCATTTTAAACTTTGCAGAAGTATGAGAAATACTATGGTTTAGTGCATGACACGGAAACATTACTCATTCAGCTACTTCTCCCATGTATCCTTAATAAATACTGGGAAAACTATTAAATCATAGCTTATAAAAGAGATCTTCTGAGGCAGCTTTCAATATGCTTCTGGAAATAACACCCCAGAGTCTTCGTGGGTTTGCTTCTTGGAGAATCTGGAGCGAGCTTAACGACTCTTTCTTGTTTTGTGGTTTTTTTTCCTGCTACTTAAGAGGAACAATTGCACATACCCTGTGGTTCAGAGCAGTGTTTTTAAGAATGACGCCCACTGTGCCTGGAATGAACTGTCCACAGGAGCCGTCACAATAGCCACCTTTCCCTGTAGGAGGATAGATTTCACAGTGCTGAATATTTAAATCTGCTCTCGAAGTGTCTCCTGTGATCTGATTATTATGCCCTCGGAGGTGTAATCAGTCAGCCCACCTTTCCACACATACCCGTGGAGGTTTATGCAATTAAGGTCTTGGTAAAAAATGACAGGTTCACTGAGGCTGGAAATTTGCAGTGCTCAGCCTGGAAAAGGCATACGTCACATGGGTGAGTTTGAATCCTGGGAAGATTAGCTCTTTGAGACTATTTCCCAGGGATTCTGTATTTTGGGGGTCCTGGGGAAAGGGCCCTGGAGGTCATATGGGTCAATCCTCATTCCAAGAGAGAATGGATTCCCAGGCCTCCCAGCCAAGCGGTGGTCTGACCTCCACTGGACACTTGCAATGTGGACAGACACACAAGGCCAGGCAAACAGGAGATGCTCAGTCAGATCCATCGAAAGCGCACCTCCTGTGTGTGAAGCTCTGAGCCAGGGTTCAGCGTGTATTATATTATATCATCCAGTTATGACAGCAGCCCCATGCGGCAGGAATGACCACAAAGCTTCGCTGACCCAGTGGTAGAGATGGGACCTGAACCCTGGGCATGCCTTGCTTTGCTGTGGGGCAACCAGGAGAGCCTGGTTCATGCTGGCCAACTAGGTGGCCTTGGGTTAGTCACTGCATTGCTCTGGGCTTCTGGGCTCCTATTTTTACTTTTTATTTATTTTTTTTTAAGATTTTTTTTTAAGATTTTATTGGGGATTTGGGGAAGGGGAACAGCCATGGGAAATTGGGGGAAGCGGAACAGACAAGTTGCTGTCCTTTTGTTCTTCAGTCTAGTTGTGGAGGACGTCACTTCACTGGCCCATGTTGGTATCATCATTGCATTCTTCCCAGGTGAGGCAGTCGCTTCACGGCCATTGGACGGCTGCTCATGGCAGCCCACGGCAGCTCACAAAAGCTCACCCCTGCTGCCAGTCAGCCCTACTGCAGCCTACCCTATCGCTGGCAACCCATGGCAGCCCAGCCCCAGACCGAGCTGCCATTCACCATCCCACCACAGAGGGCGCAGTGCCAGCAGCCCTATGTGGGATCCAAACTGGAGCCCTGCTGCTCAGAGCTGGTGCCCCAAGCCAACTCCCAGCCAATGCGTCACCTGTCCGGCCCAAGATTTTTTTTTTTTATTGGGGAATTGGGGAAGGGGAACAGCCATGGGAAATTGGGGAAGGGGAACAGCCAAGTTGTCCTTCAATCTTAGTTGTGGAGGGTGCAGCTAGCCCAAGTCCAGTAGCCATCCGGCCACCCGTCAGTAGCTCGCGGCCGCTCAGCTCAAGGTGCCATGCTCAATCTTAATTACCGGTGGGCAGTCCACCATCCCATGCGGAAGTCGAACTGGCAACCTTGTTGTTAGGAGCACATGCTCTCACCAACTGAGCCATCCGGCCACCCGTCGGCAGCTCAGGGCAGCTCAGCTCGGGCCAGCTCACTGGCCCACGTGGGAATAAAACCGGCAACCCTGTTGCTCAGAGTTCGTGCTCTTAACCCACTGAGTCACTCGGCCGGCCCTGTTCTCCTATTTTAAACAAGGGCGTATGTGTCTGGGTGGTGGGCCCGTCCCTGCGGGCCCAGCACTCGGCACAGCGAACATCCTGACCTCTGCTGAAAGCCCCTGCTTGTCCCTTTGTGCAGCCTTCCGGACATTCCTGGGCAAAGAGGACGTGTCCCAAGAAGTGGAGGAGGTCCTGGCAGAGGGCCGCGTGCAGAGGTACATCCAGCTGGTGCCCGTGCTCGAGCTGCTCCGGACCCCGTCCGTCCGATGGCAGGTCCTCACCGTGGTCATCACCATGGCCTGTTACCAGCTCTGCGGCCTCAATGCGGTCAGTGTCCCTGCTCAATTGGAGGGAGCGGGAGATGGGAGGGCTCAGGGCCTGGGCCCTGGATGCCCAGACTCCAAGCCCAGCTCTGTGCTGTCGGGCAACCACATAATCTGATGCTCAGTGTCCTCATCTATAAAATGGGACAGCGTAATAGTGAAAGACATAATCTGTGCCAAGTGTTCAGGGCAGCAGCTAGCACAGGTCTCCCTTAATAAGTGCCACCTATCATTATAATCACCTATCCCTAGAAATACTTAAAAATCACATTTCTTAATAAAATGGGTATTAGGGAGTCATATGTAAGAGACATTGAGATGGTTTAAATAAAAGTACTCATGGCTGGGCTGGCTTTAACGGGCGACTTTGGCCTGAGAAAACTCTCAAGGCTTTAAAGAAAAGCTTTCTTGGGGCCTGAGCTGACGTGGGAAGGAACGTGGAGGCACCAGGTCTCCCTGTGAAGCTCCCCAAACCCTGTGATGGATGCAGCGCCCCTTCCTGCTCAGGGCTCCAGGAAGTAGAATTTGGGAATTCGAGGCCTTAGGGGGGCCCACTTGGGATCACTATCATGATTGCTGCTTCTGGAGAAAGCGGGTTGCCTCCAGGGGTAGTGAGCTCCCCGTTCATGAAGGTGTGCAAGCCGGCCGGTCGGCCAGTTGGCAGGGATTTAGCACTGAAGCGTCCAGTGCCCTCTGAGTCCCTTATATAACTCAGGAGAAGTGTGGCTGGGCCCAGAGGGAAGGAGAAGGGACCTTCCATGGAGCACAGATAAAATAGCTCCTCTGCGTTTATATGAAGGAGGCTGGCCTCCCCCCTACCCCTCAACCCCCCCCCCACTCCCATCAAGAGTCAGCAGGGAGGGGGTGGGGTGTGTTAGGGGAGGTGATGTGAAAGGGAAGTCATTCCTGCGTGGAAAGGGGAGGAAAATGACAGACTGGAAAGTTACAACCGTTGTAAAACCCACGTACGGAATCTGTTTAGTGGGGCATTCTGGTTGGGAACCCTGACATTTCTAAGCAGAACTCTCTCTGCTGGGACATAGTTTTCTGATTTTTATACCCTGTATAACTCGATCAATTCCACCTGCGTGTACCTGCAAACCCTG